CTACTAGAGTTTAGTTTTATATGTGTTTCTTATAACTAAAGAGCTCTCCAATGAATTCGTCATACCGAAAATTTAACATTGCGCTATAGGTAACGTATGCGCTTATAAAATTGTATTATTATTGATGTGTGAAATGTATTATGTACGTGAGTTACTTTGTATTTATAACATTTCAAATTATAACAATTTAGATAAAACTATATTAGTTAAAATACATTTATATTAAAATGTTTATCCAGTAAATTATCGTAGGTTCATGAATTTTTGCTAACCAAAATAATACTTTATAATTCTTAATTATAAAAAAATAATAACGATATTTGAATTTCATCCTAATCCAACGTATGTGTTATTTAAAATATATCTAGCGTGATTATGTTTGTACTTCATGAATTCGTTTTCCTGGCCTCTAGCTCTTATATCAAACATATTGTATTATTGCTGCTATAAATGTTAGAAGAAATCATTTATGACGTTCGAAGTTTTAATCACAGGATGTATCATATTATACATTGGTTTATCGGTAGTGATTATTATAATTTGATCTTTTTACAGAACATTAATAGTTATATACATATGTATAGGTTTGGTATTTTCTCTATTATTTGTTCTCTCGCTGTCTATCTCTCATAATCATCTAAAGTCAATTTTAGTTTTGATACCTATCCTTAATATAAAATATACGTACGTATTTTTATAAAATAACCATATTTTAACATGTGTGAAATCATATTTCGTAGAACCATTATCAACCATTATCAATCATTTATTTATCATTTATTCATTAGGCTCCACAATAATACCACGTTACTGAATTCTCAAGACCTCAACATTAATATAATACTAATGACATTTGATAATTATTTTACGAAAGTGTTCACATAGTATTTCGGTTTTATTGTACCTAATATATTATTTACTATGACGTGTTTGTATTTGCATACAAGGTTTTGCACCCGAATTATTTATTCACGTCTCAGGTGGTTGAACGTGTTTGGCCATTTGGGTGTTCAAACTTCGGAATAAAAATTGTAATCAAATATCCGGATTAATAGGCGTTAATACTGCCATACGGGTGTTAATAGAACGTCGCACTCGCATGTATTCTCCCTGTCCTTCAAAGTTCAAATCACAAACTTACATTATAGTAAATTTTCATTCGGCAGAACCAATTTTATGTTATTAAATATTAGAGTGAATGATCAAACTTAAAAGTTAAAACGGTATAGAACATAATCTGTGTTTGCTCGTTGTTTTTTATTACGCTACTTAAATTTTTAAAGTTGAAATTACAATTTAAAAATGCTCATAACTGATTAAAAAATTAAATTAGAATATCGAAAAAAACCAAAATTTAAAAATGTGATATGTTGTACATTAAAATTTGTAAGACGGAGACAACACATGCGGGTGAGACAATAAGACCAATAGTTATCTAGCCATCTAGGAAGCATTGAATTTGCTAATTGCAAAATAATAAGCACCTATTTATTTTACGATATTATTATTATATTATAGAATATTTTATATTAGCTCAACTCTTAAAATATTACTATATAATTATTGAAACAGTTTGCTTTGTTTGTAAGTTAAAATATATTCTTTGCTTGTCAATAATTATTACTAAATCTAACTAAAAAATTGAATGAACAGCAATATATATATATGTAAGTGTTAAATTGTTTGGTAATAAAGTTAAACATTTTTAAAATTTATTATTCATTTATAAGAAAGAGTGAGAGTCTTATAACATAGATAGTACAAATGTATAATGTTTATAGGTACCAGCCTATAAAAATTGAATTTAAATATTAATATATTAATGAACTGTAATTTTACTGTGAACAAAAGTTAAAAAAAAAAATTATATTGCAAAATAAACATCTAAGGTCTAAAACAAACTAATTTACATTACAATGAACAGAATCCCGGTAATTAATTTAAATGTTTTAAAATGCCACCTTATTTACTTTGTACCTATAGGTGTAATATGATATTTATTTTTTAAAATGTTGTATTATATTATTAAGTATAGTAATAAAATGTTTTAAATTATATACATTTGGTTTTTTAAAGCCGATGATGTCAAAACTATGTGTATTTTAATTTTGTTTGTCTCTTTAAATATATTTTAGGCCTGTTTTAATATTTTCCGATATCCTAGGTATCAAAAGTTTGCATTAACTAGTTTAATAAACTGGAAATCCTTTAGTTTAAAGTTAACAACCTCGAGTAGAACGAGTTGAACCTCTTCGTAGTGGACACCCACCAAGGTTAAATTTTACAGCAGGTTTTTCCCTTGATAAGAATTAACTTGAAATTGTATGTTAAAACTATATCGAGTCCTACTAGTAAACTACTAAAGGCAATAAGAGATCTAACATCTGCATGTCTCAGTAGCTTACTTAAATTCACAATGCACTCATATGTAATTTACTCCTCATATGTTTAATAATAATAATAACAATCGAGAAAAGAAATTGTTTTTTTTTTGACCATTGAACTTTTTGTTTTGTATTGTGCTTACTCATGTGAAAACGGCCGAACGCTCTCGGTTGTACATCAGTGTGCCAAGGGTGAATATATTTGATTAAATCATTTGCTTAATTTTCAAAATCGAAATCTTTTATTAATGTAACAAAATATTCACTAACGTATATTACATATATTTGGTTCAATGAATTAAAAATGTTTTATCTATTTTTCTTTATTGCGCGTGAGTATTTATTAAAAATATATTATACTTTAAAAGTGTTATATACGGGTAAAAATGTGCCAGAAGAACCTGTACTAAAAATTTCAGGTTAGTTTAGAATTATTAAAGTATCGTATTCAATTAAAATATACTCGAAATAAACTTCTCTCCATATTTTCTCTACATAATGCATATTATGTTATAAAGTGATCAATTGTATTTTTTATTCAACAAGAATAGAAAGATTAGTACTTATTTAAAAGAAATACAAGAGATGATACAGCGATTGGGTTTGAACCATTTGGAGTGTTTGGACATAACTCGATCTACTCGCTTCAGTGCTAATATTATGTACCTTTTTATTGTTTCTTTAAGATTTTTATTTAATAAACCGTTGTATTTTGAATTAGGTAGGTAAATCATTAAGTGGGCCCAGGTTAACAAAAATAAAATATAGTATAAAGAACGGGGTTACTAGCCGATAAAATGCATTTTATAATTAAATAGTATTATGGTAGGTATGTACTATATAATATATTGTATAATATGTTATTCATACTATAAGATATATTATATCGAAATATACGCGTACAATGGCCCAAATTTAGGTACGAGGAAACATTTTTGAAATTGAATTAATATATGATAATCAATATGATACAAATTAGTATTTGTTAGAATTTTAAGTCTAAAATACAAAAAGAGCATCGTCGGAAATTTAAAATTGTCCCCGTTATTATAACGTATTCATAATTAATACGAGACGGATAGATAGACAATAGATAGATTGGTATTATGTAAGTATTTGTTACATACGCTGTACTAATACAAAACAAAATACAACTAATACCTATTTAAATTTTATTGTAGTTTTGTTTATAATAAAAATAACGTACTTCTTATAAGTGAATATTTTACTATTTGGTTTTTATAAAATAAGATAATTAGATATAATTAATTACCAATTTCCATCTATTGAGTACCTATGCATTTTTAACTATTGAATACGTGCAAAGCGTGTACAATAAAATGTTTATAATATTACGTAATATAATTCTTGTAACTAATTTTTAATTATATTAGTAGGTACTACGTTGATATATTATCATGATTAAAATTTTCAAATAGATTTTTTTTTACATCTGTAAAGTTGCATGACATTGACATAACTTTCTTTTCACGCACATCCGCGATTAACTATTAAGTTGTTTGATTTAATTTTCTCCTTCCTAGATACTAATTAATTTCATAGTTTTTTTTTTGACCCTGACATGATTATTAGTTTAAAAAACCGACACGATGAAGGTGCTATTTTAACTTAAAAATTGTATATAGAATTTCCATTAGTTAAATGCAATTAAATATTAAAGATACAGAGTTATGCAATTTATAAATTAGTGGTTTAAATTCTGCCTAAGTAATGTATATATATTTAATGAAATACACTGTTACAAGAATACCTAAAAATTTAGATATTAAGAAATAGTTTTAAGTTGCTTAAAAAAAAAAATTGTTTAGGAAATTATTTTTTCAAAACTTCTGTAAAACGAAAGGTGCAATTATTAATAATTTATAATTAAAACCTACTTAAATAATTCAATAATGTATCCAATTAATAAAACAATACATTTTTATATTATCAGGTACCTGCAGTGATATAATTATAAAATGTATAGGTAATAAACAAATAACTAATAGCTAATAAATATATTAATAATATATTTTTATTAAAATCAACTCGTAAGACATACAACATACAACATTGTGTTATAAATTATAATATATATACATAGTTTGTATGCATTGTTCATAGATGATTATTTGTATAATATACACATATTATGTCTTACATTTTATCATTGTATGCCTATTGAAATACTTATTTTAATTGTTATTTATTATGCATAGTAAATGGGTAGGTACGTACCTTCATCATTATACTGTGTATAACGTGTATATTATTTCATATAATTATTATGTTTTTGTGGGTCGTAGATATTGTACAAGAACTATAAATGTATATATTATATCAAACTATATACTTTATTTGGAAATCGTTTTATTAATCTTTATTTCAATTTTAACATATTTATATAGTCGGGGTGAAATTGCTAGACTGTTTTGTCTTGCTCTCTACTCATTACAGTAGATTTACAATTATACATATGTATTAGGTACTTTTTGTTTGATTGGAATGGTTAGATACTATTTATTCGGTATAAGGAGATTCCTTTTTTTAAATACTTAAACCTACTATTACCCTCTAATGGTTGTAAATGATAATGTAATTCGTTTTTTTTTGCAGAGAGCACAGATTGCAATAACTCTGAAGAAGCTGTTTTAATTGATGATAAGATGAGTTCCGAAACTAGTGGTGGTGTGAATTTTATTGTCGGTGACGAGGATGGCGTCGATCAAGCGCCTACCGAACTCGTCAATGGAGATTTAATGAAAGCTTTAGAAGAAGAGAAACACGAAAATACTGATTCTTTTCCTTTAGGTAAAGAAACACGTATGGGTGTAACATCAAATAGCAGCTCTTATAACAACATGTTTGGCTTAACGGAAAAGAGGAAACGATTAAGGTATCTAATTTATTTACTTTCATTATGATAAATTTATAATATTTTGTTATTGGCGTACATTTTAATAATGTTAGTAGTTTAAATTTAATAATTTTAACACTGACTTGCTAAATGTGTGCTCAATTTTACATTATAATCTTATAACGCATTTGTAAAATAAAAATACAGCATTTTATATTAATATTTATTAATAATAATAATTATAGATGTGAATAGCATTTTTAAGAATTTTGGCTTTTATAAATGTATATTCTCACAATATTAAACACGTGGGTTCAAATAATTGGAGAGCTAAATAATTTGTTTTTATTATAATACAATCTGTAAAAATACATTCAATACCTATTTGATTAAAAAAGGTAATGTCGAATAGGTTATTACTTATTCATTAATTATTTAGTATTATCTAGAGTATTCTGATTTTTCTGGTATATTATTATAATACATATTATAGGACGTAAAGCCTCTATTAAACTAATAGTAATGCGTTTAAGTATTTAACTAAATTATTTGTTGATTTAAATAAACTTTGAACTTGGAGTATTATTGAACTTATTTTATTGGTGGGTTTCAAAATGTATAACAAATTCAAATGAATCAACTGTACATAATTACATATAATATAATATACATATTATATTCCGTTGTTTTTTTAAACATTTAGATTATAGTTCTTATAATTCCCGTTCAAGTTGTACATTTTTAATCAAGGGCAAGGAAGTTATCATTTGTATAATATGGGATAAATATTTTTACACATATTTACATAGTAGTGGTTAAAAGTTACATGAAATACGAATAGAAAATCGATTATAAATTATACTACACGATATACAACATTATTTAATTAAAATGAGGTGTTTTAAAATAATAGATATTAAATTATTTAGTACAAAGATAAATATTTATCTTTATACATTTGCTTTATTATATTTTTATTGCTACAACTATGTGTGGTTATTTGATTTTAACTAATATTTTAGTTACATATTATATGTATTTTTAAAGTGGAAGTTAGTCGTCTCTTGTTTCATTTTAAGATTTGTATATAATTTCCTTCATGTGTTATTTTACTCCATTTTGCAAGTTTCGATTAATATCATAAATTATAATATAACCGCTCAAAAATAAGTTTACTCATACCAGCATGTGAAGAATATTGGGTTTTTTTTAATAAAACATTTAAACTTATTATAGATTTTACTATTTTATCAAATATTCGTATTTATCTAGGGAAAAATTATTATGAATGAACTAAAAAATTTAGAATATTATTGATTACTTTCCTTAATAGAATTAATGTTTTCGTAAATCGTGTTCTGTAGTATGAACTATATTTTATTTTTATTTTTTGAAAATAGTGTGATTGTTAAAACGCAAAATAGTTCAAATGTAAGTAGGTACTAATAGTTATTAATATTTTTCATATTACTTTAGGCGAGAATCTACTTATTAAGCACATTAATAATAATATTTAAACACTGAGCCATTATTTTTCGTTACTTAATTCGTCTATAAGTCTTTAATAAGAGTATAATATATGCTAACTGACAACAGTAGCACAACACAATACATTATTTGATCGTGAAGTGCAGTTTACGCAGGCAAAATAAAAGTTATTATGACTTGACTGTATACATTGCCTGCATTGTCATCTTTAAAAAATTGTTCCTCTAATTGATTTCACATCTATTCATGTTTCGTGCCGTGCTGAATGCGTGTAAATAATATATTAAAATATACGTTATTACTTGTTGTAATTCTGAGTTTTGACCGTAAAACTTGTGGTAAACGAGTGAGCTGTCGCATGTCGGTCGAATTATTGTCCAGGTAAAGCACCTACCAGAGACAATTATTATATCATTATATTTTCTGCTCATAGTGCTAGAACACACTTTTTTATTGTAATTTCTGAACCACAGCAACACAGTTTTCGAAAAATCTGAACAATTTTTTACTTCTAAAATATAAAATAAAAATGATGCAAAAGTAGTTTTAAAAAAAAGTGAATTGATCATTCGCTTATATACAGACTGTAAGGACTTACAACGTTTTTAGAATTTTTATTGGTCAACGTGCTTTAGATTGGAAACTTTCTTTATCAAAAGGTTTGATGGATTAAACTATTACGTTCTAGAGGTCCATCTTTATCCTCGCATATTATCTTGTCTTAGAACATCGCACATTTTCATTCAACAGAATACATTTTGTGTTGTTAGTTTGAATTAGCCTATTGTCAAACTTAATTTTAAAGTGACTTATAAGTTTATAAGAATGTAAAATTTTACAATCATCATAAGCTCATAACTTACTTCAAAATTAAAATATCAATAAATGGTATTTGATGTGCTGTAAGACCAAAACAATACAATTATCAATTATCATCCTTCTTATAAAATTATAGATAAAATATGATCTAAATTCTAAATCTATCAAATAATCGATATTATTGGAAAGGAAGAACCAAATGCCGTTGTTTTTACAAAGTCAAGTTTTTTTTACAATTCATAAAATATTAATTCGTGCAATATAATTTGATTGATTTTTTGACTAAAAATATAAAAGTAGCTAATACCATTATTTTATAATATTATATAATATTATACATGTATAGTATAGACGCAGGAGAAATCTAAATACATTAATAAGTATACTAATTATATAACGTTATATTGTTGTACGTTATCGTTTGAAACTATATAATATATACCAATAAATTATATTACATAATAATTTAATATATTATATTGTCTGATAAAAATTTCAACGGATTTTTTACGTATAATAGACAGTGGTGGTTTTGATAAAACATCAAGGGGGGGTCTATTTTCAATTTTTTGGCCTCCCCCCATAATTAAAGCAATTCAAGCATTTAGTGTAGCTTCAATTAAAAAAGAGACATGCAAAAAAAATTCAAGGGGGGGCAAAAGCCTTCCCCCCTAAAAACCGCCACTGATAATAGATTACCTGTATTAAACAGCCTGGTTTGGTTTGTATTTGTAGTTTAATTTCGATACTTCGATACTTGATTTTCCGTATACGCAATCTCGACATATCCAGTCGTCGAAATCAGCGGCAGCTTCGTTGTACTGCTGTAAAAATGGACCTTGTATCTTGATGATATTTTACGTATAATATGGATTACCTGTATAAACAGCCTGGGCTGGTTTGGTTTGTATTTGTAGTTAAATTTCGATACTTCGATACTTGATTTTCCGTATACGCAATTTCGACATGTCCCGTCGTCGAAATCGGCGGCAGCTTCGTTGTTCGGCTGTAAAAACGGACCTTGTATCTTGGTGAGAGGTGGCTAAGTGAGGGGCTGCGGATTCGAAATTTACATATTATTCATCGCTTCTCTGTCGTATCTTGCCGATAACACCCGTCGAGTCGAGTAGGTATGTAAATGATAATAATATATTATTACAATATTATGACTTCCGCCAGTGTGCCATAAATCATCAATATCTACGTTGCAATATCGTGTATCTAGTGGCTGGTTGCATACAATATGTATACATTAATTTGACGTTATCGACTGTATATAACTAAATATTATCGCGGTTGTACACCGCAGTCTTCTTCGCGTTCGACTGCTTTACGTACGCGCTAACGGTTGGTCATTCTATTTTGCGTTTACTTCATTTCTTGTGTTTTCTGCGTCGCAGTTGTGTTAATCTACTGTTTGTGAAATTTGAATACCTGTGGGAACGCTACCGTAGTACACAATACAGGTACCCAGGTCGTCATAGGCAACTCATTAATATCGTTAATTACATTTGTACCAATCACGTTTGAAACCTTAAAAATTAAAACAATTATTAATTAATGTGCTCCCGCGCTGCACAACAATCGTATATAGGTGTATTTCGTATCCCACACATTATCCTACCCGTCTGCTCGTTTATCACAATTCGTAACATAATTTCCTCGGTTTCTCACGTGCCGCTACTCGTGTATTTATAATAATATTTAGGTAAAGTTATACAATCGCCGCCTAGAACAAGACCTACAGACACGCGTGCACATTTACCGCCACCGGTGGTCGTCGTCGTCGCTGACCTTGACGGACGCGTGCAGCACCGAGCTGTTCGCACGACGACCGCGATGGGATCCCCTTGCACCGTTCTATAATAGCGATCATATTATTATTATATACCTAGCTATCCGCGTAACGACCGCTGCGACGGTCAATCATTATCATTACGATTGTCGTAACGTCATTATTAACAACGCCTAACGACGTAAAATATATTATTATATATATAAAAAAAAATAATAATGATATACTCCACGACGCACTTGTCTATAAATAATAACATTACGACCAAAAATGCCCAATAATTATTGTTGCGTAGTGGCGGGCGGCGATATGTTATGACTTATGATATTCGTGTCTCAACAGTCCGACCGAGTTGTTGGTAGGTCGTTGGTGTGCAACTCGTACGCCAAAGAAATCAAAAAAACAAAAATTATATGCTTGACTCCAATAACATGTCATTCTAATAATATTAAAATAAATCGAATATAAATCGCATATTGCATATAAATCGCCCGCGAAATTACAACCGTCCTCTGACGCGTTCGACTACCTACGCAACCACTACCATCGCCAAAGCCGTCACCACCTCCACCACCGCCATACAACACCGGCCGACAGCTGCTTAGCTGCGGGTCCTCTGCCGCCGACTGCAATCGTCGGCGCCGCGGTCACGATATTACCATCGACGAGCGACGACGAGTTTATCTTCGTCCTCGTCCGCGTGTCTGAAGTCCGCGCTGAAACACCCGTGTTACCGCGAACGCGTGCCGTGCTCGTGCAAAACAGCCACCGATCGCGCGCGACCCCGGCCTAACGATGCTCCAACAGCGCAGGAACTCCAGGCGGTTCGTCTTGTCCGAGCTGCGGACGTTTGCCAGCGGCGGCGTTGCTGCCGCTGCATCTGTCGCTGCAGTCGGCGACGAAGTGGAACTCGCTGACATCGAAGACGACCCGTCGTCAACGGCTGCCGGCGATTCGGATGACGCGGATGACAGCTTTTGCATACAGTTGGAACCAATGTCAGCCCCGTCTCCGCGGCCGAAATTGGCGCTGGCCGACCTGGCGTCGCTGCAGCACCTGTACGACGACGGGCTGCCGCCGTCCAAACACGAAATCGCCCAATGGAAATCAATTAAAAACCTCAAGTCCGGCATCACGTAAGTGTCCTGCCATACTGCTGCAGCATAGCCCGTATACCGCCGCCGTCTAATATATAACAACCGAATCCGCCGTTTAATTTTATCGTAATATATGGATTGCAGTAGTGCACTGTATTTCATTTTATCGAAAGTCTTCCTATATAATATTTGTATATTGTACCTTACCGCACGAATATTGTTAAGTGGTCATCAAGCGAAGTTTCGTTGTTTTTTTATCGCTTCAAAGCTTTATTATATTATTGTTTAAAATGTTGATTATAATTTTCAAATATAAACAAAGTCATCCTTGTTTAAAAATGAAGAGGATTTTCGACACCTTTGATGACCACACGCCCAATAAGTTTATTTTTTACCCGAACTTGTATATAAACACATTATTACCAGTATGACTTTCCACGATTAAACGACATACATTGCAGTACCTACTGACATCTATAATAATAATAACATTATATTATTACCTAATTTATTTATACTTCGATTAACGTGCACCTTTACCTACCTATTTGTTATTTATTATATACTTGCATATACCGCACTAGTGTTGGAAATAATACCCGGTTCGAGGTCCATATCACATACCTTTACGCACCATAACTACCTACACACAACTATGTTTAATATATATTTATATTGTCTATGGCTATAATTAATACATACATGTATATTATTTGGTGTGAGAGATGACGGTGACTGAAATATTTCTATTTTTTTAAACTTTTTTTCATCGTAAACACCATTTCCAAACATAATGATTTATTTAGGCGGTGATGCACAAATCTATTAAGGTGGGTTTACATTTGAAGTTGAACCTGAACACTAATGAATGAACGAACGAACGAATTCGAACCCATATCGAACGCTTTGAACAGCCTTTGGAGCGTTTGGAGCGAACGCGAATGCATTCGTTCGGCTAGACCGTTTACATTGGTTCGTTCTCTAGCATTCGCTTGCATTTGTTCGTGTTCGACCCCTAGTGTAAACCCAGCTTTACATATTTTCTGTTGTTGAAAATATCATTTCTATTAACATAATTTTTCTAATTTCTTATTTCTTTCCGTTACGTATATAATAATGAACTATAATAAATTATACTAGGTCGTCTGCATTCAAATTCGAGCACTGCTTTCGAGCGCGTTTCGAAATGCCGTTTTGGTATTTTCGTCATTATGACTTCCGCACAAAAACCTCATACGTTGCAAGTTGCAACTTATACTTTAAACCTATTCGATAAAAATTGGGAAAAAGTTCCCAAAGACAGTAAGTAACTGCAGGGTAATCAGTTTTATATGACTGTTTATGAGTTTTATACTGCCTTATTAATTTCCTACGTAAATTGTTGTATTTTTTTTTTAAAAATATGCTTTTCAATACGATTTCAAGTAGGTATTGAGTTATTAACTCTACATTCTTACAGATATAATAAAATGTTTTATCCTAGAGGTTTTTTTTTTTTTTTTTTTTTTGGAATCACCATATAAACTTCATATGCTTTTAAATAAAAATAAATATTGTACTTCAATATTCTTTATTATTATACATTTATACATCAACATTTTTAGAAAAGTATTATAAAATGCTTCAAATTGTGAATATATAAAATTATAAGTTATCATGAAAAAAATAGTGAAAAATTATAATTTTTTGTAAACATGAAATATTACCAATACTTTATACCCTATAGAAAAACACTTTTAAAAAACATCAGTAATTGACTGAAAATTAGTTTAGTCATGCAAAATGTACACCGCTGATGACCTGGTCGCGATATTTTGCCTAGAAGATGTTTCTGTGTCGCGGTTATAATAATAATAATAATAATTTATTGCTGTGTAGGACGGGTTTTAATGCCCAAAATGTATATAATACATGACAGCCAACAGGTCTTATTACGACGCCACGAGCCTGTTTTTACTTTGTTGTTATTCCGCCATCTAAAACTTGCCTAGTTGCTTATATAATATGTATGTGACTTTCCTGCAACTGCATTCTGTATATAGGCTCAAACGAACTCCAATACTCTAAAAATATTATACTCACAAACACCGCTGCAGTGGTTATACGCCAACCTGCAATAATTGAGCGGCTGTTCTATAAAAAATAAATATTATAATACAGTATATTTAATTTGTTTATATAATTTCAGTGCTTGAATAATAATCGTCAAGTTTTTAAGCTTCTTTTGAACCGCTGTGAAACGTCAATTGTCTTCAATATATACTGTTACGCACATTTAATTATTATGTATTTCGTTGTTACAATAACGTGTTGACTTTTTGCGTTAAAACCGTATTTGATCGTCGGTTTAGCACGTTTTAGCGCATCAAGTTGTTAATGTAAACACACCGACACACAACTACCCTGCACAGTCCATAGCACGCCATAATGGCATAATATGACCTACAATATAATATTATATACTATGGTTTTCTTTATGTTTATTATAATTCAAAACATAAACACAAAATTATAACGTTTACCTAATAAAACCTTGCGGAAACCTGTGTACATACACATTTTGACATATATTTCTCATTTCAAAAACTGACCGGAATAATTGTGGTTAATGTACGTAGGTGAGTGAGTGAGGTAAACCGGTTCTCGTTTAGCCATGGGTTTCGGATAACCAGAAATTATTCAAATCATTTCAAAAAAATAAATTATTATTCATTACTTCATTAGTGTTAGCGTGTTTGTGCACGGTATATTGCAATAACGTTGAGCAATACTCGCATCATGTACGATTATCATCGTCTTGGTAGAGACGACGAAAATATAATTTAAAAAAAAATATAAAATTTATAATATTATGAATTCAAGGGAAATAACAACTACTAATAATGTTATGTTGTTGAAAATTCATAGTGTACAATACGTAAGGCGTATGGTATCGTTTGACGTAGGTATAATAAAATTGCCGTTACTAATTATAGTCGACTGACAAAGCACAACAATATCATAACATTATTAAACGTCAATTTTGTTTGAAATGTAAATCAATTACATAAACAATTTAGTGGAGTGTCTGGGCTGAGAATTAAAAAAACAATGTTAAAAAAGTTATAATAATATTATTATTGCCGTATTCAAAAGTATGAAGTTACATAGTAACGGACATGGTTTATGAATTATGAGCTTATTACTAACTAATACATTCTAATTTTTTTATTTCTGATTTTTGTTTTGTCTGCACTAGCTTGCACGAATTGGTTCAAGGGAATTTCATATAGAATCTCATCTTTCTTTTCAACTGTCAACTAATCATTTTTGGTTTATAATTGAGGAGATCAGTAGATTTTACCATTGAATGAAAAATAAAAGTTAACAGCTTTGTTTATTCTAAATGATGTAAAAAATTATAATTTATTCAATTATTCATTTATTTATTAAAACAACTTTTTTTTGAAATTGGAGGTTTGGTGAAAATTAAAAGTTTATTTTTAACAAAGCTTGAGTGTTGAGATAATTGGCACTTATGAACAATATTTATCACATTTTGATATGATGAGATTCGCAATTACTTATTAGTTATTTATGTTTTATTATTAAAAAAAAAAATAGTTTTAGTTGTTCATGAAATAAACTATTTCCTAACATTGTATTATGTTATACTCCGAATTAGATAGATTTGACATTGTACCGGAAATTGGATTCAATATATGAGTAAATAATTAAGATTATACATATACGTTGATATTTAACTGTTATTCGATATTGACTACCAACTAAACTGTTTAAAAATATTTTCATATTAATTCAAAATAATAATGATTATTTGATTAAAACAATGTATCTATAATAAATATTTATTTTAATTTTATAATATATCTTTACTTACTAAATCGGTATTGTAATTTACCTTGATATGTGCCATATGCATGTGTATGTGTGTGTGTATTGCTTAATTTATCATTGAAATATGTAATATGACATTAAGAGATATATTAAAATATGTGTTACTATATAGTGTTCATATTACATTCGTGTGTCTAACCACTTATCTTTGACATTTTCTTAAGAGGATGTTAGTGTACACTGCACTGTATTTGTTTTCTATCTCTCGCCGACGCTCAACATTGACAAAACGCATTTACGCAGAATTAGGGTTTTGAGTAATCTTAGAGCAAAATCATCCGTAACAAAAACGATAGAGAATAATATTTTTTGAGGGTATGAGATATCGATTTGTCTAAATATTGCTCCTCAAAACCATTTAAACATCATTTAAATGTTTAGAATTTATTTTTATTTTTAATGTCAAATAATATTAAAATTATATAAAACCGATGTCATACCCTCAATAGTATATTATTGTGTGGCAATGTTGGGAAGCGAGCTATTTCAGTCGCGGGTGGCGTGTGCGGCGCTGGCCGCAGGCGAGAACGTATTAAGCCCGCGACTGAAATTGCCTTCCCGCACAAGCCACACATAATATTTGTTGTCACGCCTCTGCATTAATGGATCACGTTAAGGGTAATGCACTATGGAGGCATAAGTGTATAACATCTTTATGTTTTGTAAGTATCGTGGTATAGATTTCAGTGTCTGGTTGTGCAGGGGTATGCCCAGCACTTTTGGGGATTTCCATTTACAGCCCGGCACTATGGGGATTTCAACTAAACCGCCCTCTGGACGAAAAATTTCGCTTTACATCATTGAAAACTATACTTTTGATGCAGGCGTGAAAAAAAAATATCCTTTATAATTTTTGTGATAGGTAATTTTAAGGGCCGACTACACCAACGCAGTTAATCATGGTTAACGCTTAATCGGCTGATAACAGATATTTATTCGGCCAAATTCGGCTGATTAAAACTCCGGTTAACTTTAATCCTGATTAACTGTGTTGGTGAAATCGGCCCTAAGATTACTAAAAAATCATAAAAAACGATTTTTGGTGAAAGCGTTTGATCTATGGGTCTGAGAGAGAAAACCAATTTTGTGCTGACATCCTCTTAGCAAGAGAACTCCACATGTGTTGTTTCAGTCTTACAAACGTATAACATAGTAAGTAGTACAAACATTTACTACTTTAAAATGCTCATAACCCGCTTCAAAATTAAAATGTAAAAAAAAACATATATCATTGATTAGATAATATTCTTACTTCTAAATTTGGTAATAGATAAATTCACTTTAAAATTAAACATAACAGAGTTAAATTAATTATTCAGAATGTACTATTTGCCATTTGGTATGTTATGTGTTTGACAGGGATTACGCATGCTGGTATGGCGTCCTCTTAAAAAAGTGTGAAAAAATAAACATTCTGAATTCTGATTGATCTCTATATTAACTTAATATAAATTTGTTTTTGTGTCACATTTTTTTTTTGTTTCTATGATTTCAATATGTACTCTATTTGTCATTAGCCATTGTTCTAAAAAAAATATTAGAAATATTTATCTGTAGCAATAATTTATTTCAATTACCAGACATATTTTAGGTTATTTAGTAGGTACCTAATTGTATATAATATGAATTTAAATATTTCACATTTTTATTTTTGTTTAACATTACTGTTATTTATTTTATTTCTAAAATTGGAAAATAGGTTAAATGTTGGAAATGTTGTATGGAATATCTATAATAAATAATAAATATTTTATTGACACCTAGGTTCAACGTAGTTTTTAATAAAATTGCAGTATTTATATTTATTTAATCTGTTTCCGTGTCTTACAACCAATGACACCAGGTAAAATATTTAGATTATGTTTTAAAATTAAATATAATTTATTTTTCTGATGTGGGTGAACTTCACTTTTTCATAATTTTAGGTACTTAATAGTTTTGAAAATTAATAATTTGTGTTATAGTTTTATAAAATACTTCTTGAATATTAGCTATCATTTTCAAATTAAATTGGTCAGTTAGTTATTTATTTAAGTGAGCAGTATTCTGCAAGAATAGCAGTATACACGGCTTTGAAAATCAAAGAAGATTATTATTAATATTAAACAATTTATGTTTTCAAGTGGCATACAACATTTTTAAACATTTGTATAGATGGTTTTTGGGATATAAAAAAGTTGACAATTCCTGATTTAGGTATCTTAAAAAATTTATTATTTATAATTTCATTTAGAAACAAAAATGTTAAACTACCTAGTTATTTTAGGTATTTTCCCTATTCTGTAAAACCCAAATTTTTCTAAATATACCACTAATATTATTAAATTTTCAGTACTATATGTCACATTATTTGTTATGTTTTTATGTAAGGGAAATACTCTTAACATTTCAATTAGGTACTAGACATCATAAAAAAATTAATCTCAAGAGCCATTTTATAAATTATATCTTATAAGCTCCCTCTAATACTATTCCCAGCTTCAGAAGTAATTCCAATATCCTATTTGAGTTAATTTTATAAATAAACTTGTTGAATATAATGAGTGTTTCACAGTGTTTTGTCTATGCAAATAACTTTATTTTAATTTGATTAAAATTGTTTCTGTATGTATAACTTATATAATTTATTCATTTATATATTTATGCATTTATATACATTTTCTTTTTGTTTGTACTTAAACTATAACAAAAAATGAATTGTTCATGTTTGTGATAGCTAAATTTGTATAAGCTACTGAGTTAGTTATATATAGATAAATTATTTATTTTCATTGCCTAAAATTATGAAAAAGACTATACATTGTATACAACATTATAGAAAGTAAAGTAATAATAAGTAATTTAAAAAAAATTTATGGTTTTAAAAATATTTTTCTTATGAAAATAATTAATACGCAATATAATCTGTAATTTTTTGGGAAATTACAACATCAAAATCTTTAAATAACACTTGAAAAAGCTGTTTGGAGATTTAACTTGACAAGAAAATCCTTCAGTTAGTAGTGAATATTTTTTTTAAAATGAGTAATAATTTGATGTAGAGTTATCCAATTACAAAGTAGGTTCCTCCAACCCAGTTTAACCTAGTTTCCACATAAGTTACATCATTATTAATCCTTAGTTCAAAAAACCAGTGTTCAAAGTATTTTACCATAATTTTGAGTATTGAGCAAACTAGCACTAATGCAGTAATCTGCCAGTTAAATGTTATTGTCACCAGACATTTTGTATAGGGAGGGGGGCTCTAAGTCCCAAAAAAAAAAGCTGGTACAGTTGGGCATTCGTTCTTATTTCTTATTTCTGTTTTGTATTGTTGAACACGGGTCCATAAATTTTTCTAAGAACTTTTCTCTCAAATAATGGTAATTTTGTCAATATAGGGCGGATATAACTGATGTATAGATGTTCTTTTGCCTTCTTTGACAGCAACTTAGACTTAAAGAGCTTTTTCAGTGCATAAAGGCATCGGTTAGCAGCACCCAATCTGATATTGATCTCTCCATACATATTGTTTTAATTAGGGTAGACCCAAGATATTTGAACTCTTGTACTTGTTCAAAGGTGTTATTTTCCACGTGGAGGATATTATGGTCACCCCCTCCTCGCTTTACTATCATGTATTTAGTTTTTCCACTATATTGTTAGGCCAATATCTTTTCCAATTTTTATAAGTTCTTCAACAGTATTCTGAATTCCTTCTCGCGAATTCCCAATAACCACTATGTCATCTGCATATGCTACTAAGACATTTCGTTTGTCAAGGTTTAATGTCTCAGTTCGCGGAACCTTTTTTATTACACTCTCCAGTGCCCTTATTTTAAAAATAATAGATTTAAATAGATTATTGTGTACATGGAATTTGTTATGTTAAACACTTGTAAGTCGGAGACAACACAACAGGTGTGGCTTTCTCTTAAGATTTTTTTACATTCTTTGCTAAGTTTAAATTTATATCCTTAAATTTGAACTGGCATTTTAAATGTTTATGTCAAAATTAAGAAAAAATAGTTTTGTGTTGACGTTCTCTTAAAATTATGTTAAGATATACCCGTCAAACATTTACATACGTATTTTGTTGTTTTTTATGTCTTATATTACATTATTATTATGTACAAATTAATTTCTTACCAAGCTCTTGGTTGTAATTTGTTGATAATATTCATACACCAGTGGTAAAATTATTGGTAGATATTAAATAAGGCATAAAACTCCTTTAGATATATATTAAAATAATAAATATTTTTTGTTACAAAAGAATCATTTTTACTCTTAAGAATGTTTAAGAAATACTAAATTAAAACATCTCTTTCCCCTAAAAGGATAAATTACAATTGTTCACTGACCACACCTCTATTATCTGTTGAACATTTTCAATACATTTTATATTAGTAACATAATGATTGCACACATAGATTTCTAAAATTGCTTCACTGTTTATTAATATTTTACAAACTATCATCAGATATACTTATAAGTCGTCATTATAAACAAAACATGTTCAGAAAATATTGTGCTAAACTTATAATTTGTATTTTATATGTATAACAGGGTGTATTTTAGCCATATGCTCATTTACTGAAATTCCGCTTTTGACTCCTAATTGTACAAGTTATTGGCACATTTATTTTAAAATATTATAACATATAATCTTAATAATTTATGAAATAATGTGAACCGTGATTAATTTATTTTGAAGCTTTCAACAAATGAAAATGTATCTATACTTGTAATCACATCTTAAATACAAGATCTTACAAATAATTTACAAAATTCACATAACCTAACTTTTTAAAATCATAATGGAATGGTTTTTAAATGTTTTTTCCTTGTATTATTAAGACTGCAAAAGTGTTCCACAATCTTGAATCTTTATATTATCTTTTCATCAATTAAATATTACACTTTCAATTCAAATTTTGCAAATTCCCAGTTTCAAAAGAAATACTAAAAAGCTACAACATTATTTTGAGATCCTAATACTTTTTCTTAGAGGGGTTCAGTGATTCAAAATATTTAACTACAATTTGGCGGTAACATGCAGTATATACCTCTTTACTGTACAGTAATGTTCAAAAATACAAAATACCAATTTTAAACTGATTTGTTAATATTAATTTTAGTAGTTGTGAGTAAAACTTGAAAAGTGAAATTCAAAGTTATTTATATTATAGAATATATATTATATTAAATATTACTTGGCCCATCTCTTTCTTTGTCAAGTATATCATGGACATAGATCTAGAACAATACAGTAAGTCAATAAACAATAAGTAGCAAACTCAGGTTTATTAAACACTTTTCTATAGTAAATTATTTGTTGTCATCTTTTTGAAGACATTAACACTGTTGCCTGTACGTACTTGTCTTGATTCTATATTTTAAAAATAAATTGTTTTTCAAATTGTAAGTTCATTTAGTCATCAATATTATGTTATTAATGTTGTTATTTAATATCACTTATCAGTAGGTATTGTACAGTGTTTCTAAAATGGTATGTACCTAATTCTAATTAAAACGTCTTCAACAATGTTATACTTGATTTAATTTTAGTACACAATTAAACTATTTCTGTAACAAGCAGTTCATAAATACGTTTGGACTTCAATGCACAGTGAGATAATACATTTTAATAAAATGTTATAATATTACAAGAATTACTAAAATTGGTTATATATTATGATATCAGAGAATGTATAATTAAATAATTTATAATAATATGTAATATATATAACTTGAACTCTTGTACAACATCAAAAACTTTGTTTTAAGTACTTCATTAACAAAATTTGCTGAAATGCTATTCACACTTTAATATATAAATGTTTTCTTATTTAATATATTTTACAATTGCTGCTTTACTATTTCTATAAAATAAATATGTCTAATCCAATATATATCATTTTTACAATAATATAATTAATATTTTACTCAAAATATGTTATAAAACAATTATAGGCCTAGTATGTCTCAAGGCAATGTGATCCATCAACGACTCACTGAAAAAGATTTCAATGTTAGCACTCCTGAAGAATTTGTAAAGCGTTTTAAAGGAACACGAGTTATAAACAAGGTAAGAGTTCATACATTTTTATGTAGTTTTAATAATCCTAAAACTGTAGATCAGGGGTCTCCAAACTTTTTTATTCAAGGGCCACAAAAAAAATCAAATGCTCTTAGCGGGCCAAAAGTTTATTAACACATATAATTTTTAACTTTATGATAATATAGCCATATAGGTACCTATATAAATAATATATAAATAATAATAATATTTTTGTATAGAATATTGTTTACTTTACAATATACTTAAATAAAAATAAATAGGTATAAATATAATATAATATAAATACATTTTTGAAATAATTTTTTTATCTATATTTACCTATGCGTCCTATGCGTGCCACGGGCCAGTTACAACTTGTTCGCGGGCCGGATACGGCCCGCGAGCCTTAGTTTGGAGACCCCTGCTGTAGATTATAAATAGTAAAACTCAAATATTACTATATTTTAGTCAGAAGGTATTTAGTTTAAGATAATTAATTTCATTTTGATATTACAGGTTTTGATTGCTAACAATGGTATTGCTGCAGTCAAATGCATGAGATCTGTTCGTCGATGGTCTTATGAAATGTTTAGAAATGAAAGAGCTGTACGATTTGTAGTTATGGTTACACCAGAAGATCTTAAAGGTATTATTTATCATGATTACTTAATTCAATTTTATGAAGATTAATGTCCAAATGAATTAATAATTATTACTTAATACGTAAAACAAAAAATTACTAGTTAATTTATTCTTTATGGTTGATTTATTTATATATGTTTGTATTGTGTATGAAAAAAATAGTGTCATATATTATTATTATTTCAGCTAATGCTGAGTATATTAAAATGGCTGATCACTATGTACCAGTACCTGGAGGTACAAATAACAACAATTATGCTAATGTTGAACTCATTGTCAATATAGCTATACGTTCTCAAGTTCAGGTAGATTTTTATTTACAAAATTATAGTAAAATAGTTAATAAATTATATTTATATTGATGTTTTGTTTTATATGTAATTATAATAGGCTGTATGGGCTGGTTGGGGACATGCTTCTGAGAATCCAGAACTACCTAAACTGTTGGACAAAAATAAAATTGCTTTTATTGGACCCCCTGAAAAAGCTATGTTTGCTCTCGGTGATAAAATTGCTTCGAGTATTGTTGCACAAACTGCTGAAATCCCGACATTGCCCTGGTCTGGTTCAGGTAAATTAATATACACATACTAGTTTAGATTCCCACATCCATTTATAGAATCTTATGTTGGTATTGTGTGGAATTTTTAATTGTTGCAGAAAAAAAATATGATTTTCTATAAAAGGATATATTATTTAAACACATGTTTCTTTATTTTGGACGACCCACTTTTTATGACAATTTCAAATTTTTATAACGTTACATAAGTATAACAGTTTGTTCATGTCCAAATGACATTTATTTCATTATTTCAAACAACTTACATGGGTGACAATTTAAACCAGCAACAATATGTTAACAAACAATTTTTTTGAAAATTAAATTATTTACATATTTTTAATATTTTTAAAACCAAAATCCACACTTTACAATTTCTTGATTAAAGAAGTGTATTCAAATTATTGAAATAAATTATTCTCGTTTTTGAAACACAAATTTCTTCAGTATACGATTATATTCCATATTTAAACTAAAATTACTTACATGTCTACTTGTATAACAAATGTACATACTTTATTTAGGTGTAATTGGACATTACTCTGGAAAAAAAATTGAAATTGGACCAGATTTGTATAAAAAAGGTTGTGTTGCATCAATCGAAGAAGGTTTAGTATCAGCTGAAAAGGTCGGGTATCCAATTATGATTAAAGCTAGTGAAGGCGGTGGTGGTAAAGGTATAAGGAAAGTAGAAAATTCTGAAGAATTCCCAAATGCATACAAACAGGTATATTAAAGTTATACCCTCAACAATTGTTTAATTTAGGAATGATTAAATATTTTTTAAATTTCAACTTAAATTAACCTAATTTGTAGGTTCAAGCTGAAGTTCCTGGATCACCAATATTTATAATGAAATTGGCTAAATGCGCTAGGCATTTAGAAGTACAACTTTTAGCCGATCAATATGGTAATGCTATATCATTGTTTGGGCGTGATTGTTCAATTCAAAGGAGACATCAAAAAATTATTGAAGAGGCTCCGGCAGTGATTGCCGAACCTAGCGTTTTTGAAGAAATGGAGAGAGTAATGGGTTTTATTTTTTTATTTTAGTTATTAATTCATAACCTTATTTTTTTTTAAATATTTTATTTTAGGCCGCAGTTCGTATTGCTAAAATGGTTGGTTATGTTAGTGCTGGTACAGTTGAGTATCTATACGATACAGATGGAAATTATTACTTTTTGGAGTTAAATCCTAGACTGCAAGTGGAACATCCGTGTACAGAAATGGTATCTGATGTGAATTTGCCAGCTGCACAACTGCAAATTTCAATGGGATTAGCCCTCAACTGTATTAAAGACATCAGATTACTTTATAGCGAATCTGCTTGGGGAGATAGTTATATCGATTTCGATGCACCAAGACATAAACCTCATCCATGGGGTCATGTTATTGCTGCTCGAATCACTAGTGAAAACCCTGATGAAGGTACAACAAAATCTTTTTTTATTTTTGATATACCAAGTTAATTATTTGTACTAAGTATTTAGTAACTGTATCAAAATAATATCATAATATATGACTTGTTGAAGTCTGAATCGCTATATACATGTACCATTTTATAATCATTTTAGCTAAATTAATTAAATTAAATTGATCATTGTTATATAATATAGTGTATATATAGTGTAATTGTATTATATAACATTTTTGTTTTAGGTTTTAAGCCTAGTTCTGGGACTGTTCAAGAATTAAATTTCCGTTCTTCAAAAAATGTATGGGGATACTTCAGTGTAGCTGCCTCAGGAGGATTACACGAATTTGCTGATTCTCAGTTTGGGCATTGTTTCTCATGGGGAGAAAACCGAGAACAAGCTAGAGAGTAAGATTTAAAATTATATAAGAAATTAAAATATTGGTTTGAAAATATAATATGTGTATTTATTTTGTCGTCAATTAGAAATTTAGTTATTGCACTTAAAGAATTGTCGATTCGAGGAGATTTCAGAACTACAGTTGAATATTTAATCACACTTCTTGAAACTGAATCATTCCAGGTACATTCATTGTTATTTTATAAAAATGCATATAACTGTATTTTACATTTTTTTATGTACATTCTTTTCAGTCAAATACAATTGATACAGCTTGGTTGGATTTATTGATATCAGAGCGAGTGCAATCCGAAAAGCCAGACATATTTCTTGGAGTCATTTGTGGTGGACTTCATATTGCTGATCGTAATATATCCGAATCATTCCAAAACTTTCAAACATCTTTAGAACGGTAATAATATGTGTTCCAATATTTACTTAATAATTGTGGTAATTTATGACAATGTTGTAATATTATGCAGTTTTATGTTTAAAAATAACCTGTACCCTGTATAATTAAGTTTTTATTTCATTATGAATATTGTTTAATTTACTTCATTAAACTTTTGTATATTTTATCGGCAAAATATAATAAAGTAAAAAGTATATATATTGATTTATATACATTTTCTTTTAAGTTTAATAATTTTTTTTTATTACGTGATCTATATAGATTTTTGTCCTCCAAAATATATTTTTAAAATTACAAAGTTTAATGTTTAAAAACATATTGATGTTCTAGTATAAATAGTGTCTATATTTTTGAATGCCTATATAATATTTATCTATCATATATATTTTTCAGTGGTCAGGTGTTGAGTGCCAATACACTTGATCACCATGTGTCTGTTGAACTAATAAATGGAGGATACAAATACAAAGTTCAAGTCACCAAATCCGGACTCAATTCATACTTCCTCATTATGAATGGCTCATTTAAGGAAATTGAAGTCCATCGTCTATCTGATGGTGGTACGTAAATCATTATTATGTAGTACTTTATTTATTTGCTATTATTTATCAAAAATGTCTATTAATTTTTGAATAAAATTTAGGAATTTTGCTATCTTTGGATGGATCAAGTTTTACTACTTATATGCGAGAAGAAGTAGATCGGTATAGAATCGTGATTGGTAATCAGACATGTGTTTTTGATAAAGAAAATGATCCATCTCTATTACGCTCACCATCTGCTGGTAAACTGATCAGTTTTCTTATTGAGGATGGTGGTCAAGTTAAAAAAGGTCAACCATATGCTGAAATAGAGGTAAATATTTATCTTTCGTATTTATTAAAATATTATATTTTATATTAGTTTAAATAACAATGAACGATAATGATTTATTTGTATTTTATTATTTTCAATTAGGTAATGAAAATGGTAATGACATTAACAGCAACAGAAAACGGACGTGTGTATTATAGCAAACGGCCAGGGGCCGTTCTTGATGCTGGTTCATTAATTGCAACACTTGAATTAGATGACCCATCCTTGGTTACAAAAGCTGTTGAATATAAAGGACAGTTCCTTGAACTTGATGGAACTTCACATATTTATGGAGAAAGTCTTAATAATATACATACATGCTACAGAGGTATGCTAGATAATATTCTGGCTGGGTATTGCTTACCAGAACCATATCATCTTGTACGTTTGAGAGAAGTCATTGAAAAGTTCATGAACTCTCTACGTGACCCAAGTTTACCTTTACTGGAGTTACAGGTACAGAAGTTTAGTTTTTAACTTGAAAAATTAATTATAAATCAATTTTTATATGCACAGGAAGTGATTTCATCAATATCTGGCAGAATACCAAAAGCTGTTGATAAAAAAATTAAATCATTAATGAAGCTATACGAGAGGAACATCACATCTGTACTTGCACAATTTCCTAGCCAACAAATAGCTGCAATTATTGATGGGTAAATTACTATTGAATTAACTACCTACTACATTAGTTGATAATAATTATTTATTTTAATATTTCATTTAAACCAAAAGCCATGCTGCAACTTTACAAAAAAGAACAGATCGTGACAGCTTTTTCCAAACAACTCAAGGCATTGTTCAACTAGTGCAGAGATATAGGAATGGTATTCGTGGTCGAATGAAGTCAGCTGTTCATGAATTGCTGAAACAATATTACGAAGTGGAAAGTCAATTCCAACATGGTAAGAAAATGTATACATATTATACTATGTTAAAAACGAATAAATAATATTTTCTCTTTTAATTATTATATTTAATATATTTAATGAGTTGTAATTTAAAAATGTATAGGAAGTTATGATAAATGTGCTACTGCATTGAGGGATAGATACAAAGATGATATGGCTGCTGTAACTTCAACGATATTCTCACACACACAAGTAGCAAAGAAGAATATGTTGGTTACAATGTTAATTGATCATTTATGGTCCAACGAACCTGGTTTAACAGACGAGTTGGCAGCTACATTAAACGAGTTGACATCACTTAATCGCAGTGAACATTCTAGAGTTGCACTTCGGGCCCGACAAGTTGGTGTTTTTGTTATTATTATAAATATTTATATTTCTTAATTATTTTTACTTTTTATAAACTGTTCATTAGTTTTGTTCTTTAATAAAATCCTTATCCTTCTTATCTCAATAAAAATCAATTATGTAACGTTTGTTATACAACCTATTTTATAGGTACTCATTGCTGCACACCAACCAGCATATGAATTAAGACATAACCAAATGGAATCAATATTTTTATCAGCAGTTGATATGTATGGACATGATTTTCATCCAGAAAACTTACAAAAACTTATCCAGTCCGAAACTTCTATATTTGATATCCTTCATGACTTCTTTTATCATTCAAACCGTGCAGTCTGTAATGCCGCATTAGAGGTAATATAAGTTATTGAAATTAACTATTAATTATTATAAATACTTGAGAATGTTTAGCAACCTAATAATAACAATAATAACTTGATCTTTGATTAGGTTTATGTAAGACGTGTTTACATATCATACGATCTTACATGTTTGCAACATTTGGAACTGTCTGGAGAAATACCATTGGTACATTTCCAATTTCTTTTGCCTTCTTCACATCCAAATCGGTAAGCTTATAATAGCCTTTTACTAAAATCATCCTAATAAATATAATTTAATATCTATTCTTATTGTGTTTAGTCAACAAAATAAGATCAACTCTGTAGCCAATGGTTCTGAAAATCTTGAATCACCAACCAAAACTCCATTGCCATATATCCCAACTTATCAAAGAACCGGTTGTATGGCAGCATTTGAATCATTTACTCAATTTGAACAATATTTTGATGAAATCCTGGATATTATGGAAGATTTATCTTCTCCTGTATATGTTTCCCCAAGAATCATTGATGCCCTTGAAAGTGGAAGTGAATCTAGATTAAGCTCATCCCTTAATGTAAGTTTGTCTCTTGGTGATCAACGACCCCCAGACCAAGAAAACGTTGAGGTAATTTGATTTTGAAATTGCATAATATATAGCAAAACATAATTTTCATGACAGTTTTTTTTTATTAATTTCAGATTGAACCGTGTCATATATTATGTATAGCTATGAAAGACACTGGAAATATGGAAGATGATAAACTTGGTAAGATGTATGAAGAATTTTGTCAACAACGTAGAGAAGAATTGAAAAAAAGATCAATCCGGAGAATCACTTTCTTGGCTTTGAATAAGTAATTTAATCTATATTCATTTTAACCATCAGATTATTTTTATAATATATATTTTACACCATTTATTTGTATTTTGTGAAACAACATTTGTTTATAAAAATGTATGTTTGAGGACCTAATAGATATATTATTTTCATCTTACATAGACAGTGAAAGTAAGCTTAATAAATAATATACTAAATTACTGTGAAAGTTGTATATAACACTAATCATCATCTTATATTGTTTAAATATAACTAAATATAATTACTAAATAATATTACTCTTATAATTAAAATAATGATAATTCAAACAGTTATTAATTGTATTTGTTTTCATATAATTTGAACCATTTTAATATACCTACTGCACTTTTATTACTTATATGTGTTAAACAGTGCTCGAATTGGTGGGAGGGGTGCGCAGGGGTCGGGCTCCCCTACTATTTTTATTTTACTTGGACGGGGGGACGGAACAAACTAATGTCCGAAATAATTTTTATTAAAATGTGGATTTCAATTAATGTCATTTATATAACAACTTTTACTATTTTTCATAACAAAATTATTTTTTATATTACTTTATTAATTAATTATAATATCACCCTGGGTTTTTCCTCTATATTCAGTAGTTCGCAGATCATAAATCATATTATACAACAGTCAACAATACAAGTATATTGGCACATAAATATACTCATAAATATACCGAATGAAATGTTATCAGTTTCAGTTATGGTTATCATTTATCAGTGTTTTTGAATTTTTGAATTTTTAAATTTTTTTTGTACTTATTAAAAACCATAATTATTAATTTTGTTATAAACGGGTAGATTATTATTAATTTTTTGTCTACTGTAACAATATAACATGTAGATATTGCGATCAAAATATATTATACCTATTTAGAATTCAAAATGTGTTGCTAAACAGTAGTATTCAAAATGTATGTAAGGCAGGAGCATGGGGGGAGGCAAGGCCCCCCACGGGTCTGTGTTAAATAATTAGGCCCTTGAAACGCAGTTATTAAATCGTTGGATTGAGCTCCTCTACTTAATTTTTCCCAACTCGAACACTGGTGTTAAAGATATATATTATGTAATAATAACTGATTTTTTTAAAAAATTATAACAAAAATGTAGATTTAATTCTTCAATTTAAATAAATCATAATTTAAAATCAAATCAAATCTATATATTTATATTTGAAGTTATTTTTAGTCTTATTCTTCTTTTAAAGTCTTTTCTTTAGATCCTTGATCTTGAGTAATATTAACTATAACATTATTTACAATATATAATAATATTACTTTTTGATATATACATTTTCGGAACAATGTTGTTAAAAAGAAAAACATTTTTGAAATATTAGGTGGGATCTTGAATTTATTCATTATTTGTTAATTCAAGATTTTTTTTAATTGATACTAAAGAATTTGTATTTATTTAAATGTTACGTTTATTAAATGTATGTATTTATATTGATTTGTAGAAGGCAATTCCCTAAATTATTCACCTACAGAAACTATGAGGATTTTGCTGAAGATAGAATTTATCGTCACTTAGAGCCAGGTATGGCTTTCCAATTGGAATTGAACAGAATGAGGACGTATGAATTAGAAGCCTTACCTACATCAAACAGAAAAATGTATCTGTATTTAGGAAAAGCTAAAGTCAGTTGAACTCTTTAAAACAATTACATTTTTTGAACAATTAAATGCTTTTATTTATAGTATACTAATATTTTTTTTATTATAGGTTCCAAGAGGTCAAGTTGTTACTGATTATCGTTTCTTTATACGTTCCATTATAAGACATCAAGATTTAATAACAAAAGAAGCTTCTTTTGAATACCTTCAAAATGAAGGAGAACGTGTTTTGTTGGAAGCGATGGATGAATTAGAGGTTGCTTTTAGCCACCCACATGCACGTAGAACTGACTGTAATCATATATTCTTGAATTTCGTGCCCACTGTTATAATGGATCCTGCCAAAGTAAATTTAACAATAAATTAGTTATATATTTTTTAATTTGTCAAAAAATATATTCTTTTATGGATAGATCAAAGAAAGTGTGACTAATATGGTAATGCGGTATGGTCCACGTCTTTGGAAATTACGGGTTCTTCAAGCTGAGCTTAGAATGACAATACGGCCTTCACCCACTAGTAAAACTTCAAATGTTCGATTAAGCCTTGCAAATGGCAGTGGTTATCATTTGGATATTTGCCTTTACAAAGAAATTACTGACTCTAAATTAGGAATGGTAAGTTCATTAAATACATTTAAAAACTTTAACTTTGGAACGCTAAGGCAATCGGTTGTAGTTTAACCAAGGACAGTCTTATCAAACACGGGTAGGCAACACAACTTGTTGATCTTATCCACTTACTAAGATATAATTGACTGGAAATAAGCAGTTTATCGATGGCCTCAAAAGTATGTAGAAGAGGCAAATTCATGGAGTTGCAATGATTATTGAGAGTTAACAACTCTATCTGTATAAAACTCGGACTAAGATACAAAATGTGACGCCAAACAAAACCAACTGTAGCACTAAAAACATTCTATGAATAGTGTTGATGATACATGGTAACAAAGGAACCTTTTGGGGGTCGTCCCCTGTCACCCGCCCACCTTATCATTTCTAGTCCATTATATCTTAGTCCGTGATCTTATCCTTTAACTAAATGTTACTTCTTATATAGAATAAATAACTATCTAATCTTTAAAATATTTTCTTTGAATATTGAATAGACATTAATTAAATGAAGAACAATTGATGAACAATTATTTGATAATTTTTATTTATTTACAGATTAAATTTGAATCATATGAATCAAAGCAAGGACCATTACACGGACTACCAGTTTCTACTCCATATGTAACCAAAGACTTTCTCCAACAAAAAAGATTCCAAGCTCAAAGTGCTGGAACAACTTACGTTTATGATATTCCAGATATGTTTAGACAAATGATAGAAACTTTATGGCAAGAATACATTTTGGAACACCCAAATGGTAATTTAATAGTTTTCTGAATACAATTTGTATAACATAACATAACATTATATTTGTAGATGGAGTTTTAAAAAGCAGCTTAGTGTTTGATTATGTTGAACTTGTGGTTGAAGACAATCATTTAATTGAACAAAAACGTTTCTCTGGTGAAAACACTGTATGTATTAATATTAGTCAATTTTGGTGTTAAATATATTAAATTGTGTTTTAATTTTATAGGCTGGTATGGTTGCTTGGAGATTTACAATGCATACTCCAGAGTATCCTTCCGGCCGAGATATTATTGTGATTGCTAACGATCTAACAGTAAACATTGGTTCATTTGGTCCACAAGAAGACATTGTCTTCGATTTAGCTTCTAAAGAAGCACGTAGAAAAAAAATTCCACGCATTTATATATCAGCTAATAGTGGAGCTCGTATTGGTCTTGCAGAAGAAATAAAAAGTTTGTTCAATGTAGCATGGGAAGACCCCTCTGATCCGGAAAAAGTAAATATCATTATTTCCCTATGATTCTCATATTTATATATATTTGTAATTTAAAATACTTCTTATATTATTATTTTTACTAATTTATTTGAACTGTTTTCATCTTAGGGATTCAAATATTTATACTTAACACCTGATGACTATGGAAAATTAGCTGGTCAAAATTCTGTAGAAGCAGAATTAATTGAAGATGAAGGTGAACCACGATATAAACTAACTGACATTATCGGTAACAACAACACATTTTTATTTATTACTTTATTATACAAGACAATATAAAAGAAATGTTAATATACATATTGGTGTTTAAAAACAGGAAAAGATTTTGGTTATGGAGTTGAAAATTTAAAATTCGCTGGCATGATAGCTGGTGAAACTTCTCGTGCATATCAAGATATTGTTACAATTTCAATGGTAACTTGTCGTGCCATTGGTATTGGGGCTTATCTAGTACGTCTTGGTCAACGAGTTATTCAAATTGAGAATTCTCACATTATTCTCACAGGATATAGTGCTTTAAATAAGGTTTGATTTTTCAAAATATTTATTTATATTTAAATAATAAATTTCAATCTTATTTTTTTTTTTAGCTTCTTGGTCGTGAAGTATATGCATCTAACAATCAGTTGGGTGGTATTCAAATTATGTACAACAATGGTGTGTCCCACAAGACTGAGGCTAGAGACTTAGATGGTGTGTACAGAATACTAAAGTGGCTTTCCTACATTCCAAAAACTAAAGAATCTCCATTGCCTGTGATTAAAAGTGTAGATTCTGTAGAAAGAGATATAGACTATGTGCCTACCAAAGTCCCATATGATCCTCGTTGGATGATTGCTGGGAAAGAAGATACAAGTTAGTACTATATCTATAATTAGTATATCCAGAACTTACTTATTTAAACATGTATTGATCTAATTTATTTATTCAGATGGCCATTGGGAGTCAGGATTCTTTGATAAAGGATCATGGGATGAAATAATGCAACCCTGGGCACAGACTGTTGTTTGTGGAAGAGCTAGGCTGGGAGGAATCCCTGTCGGTGTGATTGCTGTTGAAACAAGAACAGTAGAAGTCACTTTACCGGCAGATCCTGCCAATTTGGATTCCGAATCTAAGGTAATTAACATAATATTAATTTTATGTTATATTGATTGTTATATGATGAATAAATATTTGTACTAATTTCACTAGACTGTGTCTCAAGCTGGACAAGTATGGTTCCCAGACTCTGCATATAAAACATCTCAAGCCATTAAAGATTTTGCCCATGAAGATTTACCACTTTTCATCTTTGCTAACTGGAGAGGTTTTTCTGGTGGAATGAAAGGTATTTCATATACAATTATAACATTATACCGTTATCCAATTCACCATAATTTAAATTATGCTGTGGTTTAACTTAGAATTCAATTTGTTAACTTAATTTAATTCATTAATCTTTCTCTATTTGCCAGACATGTATGAACAAATAATGAAATTTGGTGCATACATTGTTGATGAACTAAGACAATACAACCAGCCAATTATCACATATATCCCACCATTTGGAGAGTTGCGAGGAGGTGCATGGGCTGTTGTAGATACTACTATTAATCCAAGACACATTGAGATGTATGCAGATCCAGATAGCCGGTAATACTTCCAATTTCAATAATATATCTTATTTATGTAATATTTTAAAAATATTTGAACTAAATTGATTCTATGATGCACAAACCTCTTTTTTTATAATAATTAATAAAAAATATATTTACTATTTATATTCTTATAATGATCAAACCTATAACTGTAAATGTTTAATGTAAGAACATTTCAGGTGTTCAGTCAATAAAGAAATAAACTAGAATAATTTATATTGGTAGTATAGGTTATACTATTTACTCCGACTATAAACTATTAAAAACATGTCGGTTTTCATACATATGATGTATTAATATAATATAATGTGGTTCTTTTCATATTTATTGCATACATTTTCTTATAAAATATGAATTCATTACATATTACGAAACTAAAAATATTTTAGAGTATAATTAGTTAATAATTATTTAGCAAATACAAATTATTAAGTCTTCATATTATAGTCATTATATTAATAGTATAAAAAGTGATTAAAAAAGAATATTATATTACAATATAATTGTTTTATACACTTGTACTTTCAGTAAAAGCGTTAACTAAAGATGATAATGAAATACCAATTCTCCATTTAATATTTATATAAATTATTTAGTTTAAAATATTATTATCCAGACTGTAAAAATCAGAATGTTAAATGTTTGTTCACAGGGGTGGTGTTTTGGAACCTGAAGGAATTGTTGAAATTAAATTCCGCGAAAAAGACATCTTAAAATCTATTTACAGAATTGATACAAATATTTTGAGTATCAAAGCAAATGGTAGCCCAACTCCTGAAGAAGCTGTTGAAATAGAAAAGAATGTTGCAGAAAGAGTATCTGTGTTGAAACCTATTTACCATCAAGTAGCAATTCATTTTGCTGACTTACATGATACACCTAAATGCATGCTTAGTAAAGGTGTTATTAAAGATATTGTACAATGGAAGAAATCTCGTAATACATTATATTGGCGACTAAAACGACGTTTATTACAAAACCAAATCCAAAAAGTAATAACAAAATCCAATGATGCAATTCAAGACGATGTCGCCTATGAAATGCTGAGAAGGTGGTTTGTTGAAGACAAAGGCACCACTGCTGTAAGTGATATTTTGTTATACTTTTTATTTTTTAATAATAAAACAAAAATTCATCTAAACAATTTTGAACACAAAAATACTATTAATATGTCTAATATTAGTCCTATTAGAATTATTGTATATGCTGTTTGATAATATATTTTATTTCGTTTTTTTTTGCAGTCTTATCTGTGGGATAACAACCAAGCCGTAGTACAATGGCTGACGAGTCAATTAGATGAATCTGATGGCACAATCGTAGCTGATTCGTTGATTGGTAATAACATTAAGAGTGTTAGAAAAGATGCAGTTATAAATCAAGTCAAATCTACAATAAATGTAAGCATGGTTCAATTAAACTTGAACTATTTAATTTTAAAACTTCGTAGTATATTTGTTCTAAAGTTAACATGTATAATTTCTTGTTGACAGGACACACCTGAAGTTACATCAGACGTTATCATGGGTATGTTCCAAAGCCTTTCGGAAATGCAACGTCTCGACTTGATTCATAATTTAACCCAGGCAACAAGCATTGGAAATGTGAAATTAAATAGTTGATTTCCTTTAACTATTAGTAGTTATTGTTGTTTATTATAAAACAAAAATATAAATAAATGTACGCTTATACTCACATACACACATAAATATGTATACAATACTGCATTATACTATACATAATGAATATTTGTGTGTGTGTGTGTGTGTGTGTATGTGTGTGTGTTTGTGTTACTTTAAAATTAATATTTTAGTTATTTCTGTACTGTACAATTGATGAAAAACAAAATTAATTGTGTTAATTGTCAGATTTCATATAATTGCTTATAATTTTTTTTAATTTTATTATGAACAAATAATTACTATCAACGGTTATATTATATAGTGTGTAGCTTATATCTACAATATATTGTATAGTGTTTACCAATCTTTTTTCCTTTTTCATGAAATTTCATTGACCGTTTTTACTAATCTTAAAATAATATTTTATAGCTAAAAAAATTATACAATATTTATTATTTGGGTACATAATATTATGAATTATTATTACACATAACTATTATGGAAAAGTAATGTAAATATAATATTTATTGTTTAATGTTGAACCATTTATAGGAAATTTTTTTTTAAATAAAATAATCGTGTGCTATTTATAGATTTAAAATAATTATACTTGAAGTTGATTTCTATAAAAAAATAATTACCATATTTCAATGAAAAATATACTCGTTTTTATATGCTTATGTTTGTTTAATATCTGAATAAAATCTATCCTAAAAGTTTCATTATAGCAGTACTTTTCATGCTACGTACAATTTATTTCATATTTTTATCTTGCATAAACTTTTTATTTATAGGAAATGGAAATAAGTTATTGCTCTCAAATATAGTTTTACATGTTTATACTACCATTATATTATATTATGCGGATATATTTTATATTATTGCCCTAGTATCAATTCTAAAAAAAAACCATGAAAATTACATGAATAATATGTTTATGTCTAATTTAAATCAGAAATAAGAATAAATAATAATATAAAAAAATAAAACACGTACTGATCTGCATGACAAATACAAATTAATTTAATACATATTGTAATGAAATAAATTCAAATCTTATGTTATTGATTTTTGTACTTGAAAATAAATAATTTATAATAATAATTTAATTATTAATGTTTATGTATAAAGTGTGTTCAGTTATTAAAAAGTACCTCAAAAGTTATACGGTAAAAAAATGTTTTAACGTTATTTATTTATTTACAACATTACATTATAATGTTGTTATTTTTTTTTTAATTTTTGGGCCAAGCTCTTTTCAGTATATAACAAAACAAATTGGGAATTACCACTATAAACCCCAAGTATAAAATACATTATGTCAGTAATTGCAAAACATAATAATACAAACTTATAAATAAAGAATAGTCAGTTTGAGTATATATATAAAGCTTTCATTCTAACATTCACAAGACAAAAATGAAATTTATATCAATTACAAATTAAATTACACAACATGAGCCCTTTAGAAAAATAGAATCAATACATATTAATTTTTTTTATAATTTAGCACAAAAAAATTTTTCATAATTATAAGTATTAAGTACACAGCCATGTGGCTAATCTTATTTAATAATTCAGAAAATTCAATATTATTATTAAGAAGATTATATATAAATTAGAACATCTAGTAACAAAGCATAACTTAAACTGCTTACAATTAATTTCTTTATTACCTACGGACTTGGAAGACCGACAACAAATGTAGGTGTAGCTTTAGGGCCAATTGTACCATCTCTGATTAAAGTTAACCGAAGTTTAATCGGTCGAATTTGGCCGATTATAAAATCTGTTATCAGCTGATTAAGCGTAATCGAAGTGTAACCATTGACAGTACAACTGGTCCTAAGATACGTCCTCTTAAAGACATTTGTATTTTGAAGATCACTGAAAATAAGATTAAGAAACTTGCAGTAGGATATTAAATATTCTCAATATGTTCCAACTATTTATAATAAATCATGCTCTATGGCAGTATGGCAATTATTGCAAGCATTACATAGATAATACCTACTTATTATTAGTGTTTTCCAGAACTCAATAACATACCTAATTTATTTTTACTATAATATACTATATACTGATACTCAATGATATTATATAATGTATGTGAATAATTTATAAGAGTTCACATTCATTGTGATAAATCAGAAACTTTATTTTTATAGATGGCTAGGTATTATATTGAAATGTCTGGCAATAGAGAAAATGTATCCTTACAAATAATTTTTCAGATTGCCCAAACATTTTGGGCATTTTACAAAAGAACTGAGGTATAATGTCCGGATTTTCAAATTTTCACACAACGGTGTAACATAATATTACCATTGATATTATGTTACGATAATTTATTCAAAAACTGACTTCTGGAAGTGTATTTTTTTCTTTAGCATAATTCACTAAAAAACGACCAGCTTTCAACAGCCTTAACATTATATCGTTATGAATTATGAATTTAAAAGTTACTTATAAATACATCTTTATACAATATTGCAATCTTGGTACATTAATACGTTTCCACCATTCGCCACTGTTGTATACTTGTACTTTGGTATTGTATTTACTATTTTTTACTAGTTAGTTAGTTATTACTTGATAATATAGTTATTTTATATTAGGCTGCCTTATACTACAATGTCTACTTCTACATAAATAAATAAGGGGGAAGTTCTCATAATTACTTAGGAACTAGCACTCCCATACATTTACCATACCATAATTATTATGGCATAATATGACACAATATAGTACCTACGTATATCCCGGCTCTGTTCTTATAAAAGGTAAAAACTTAAAAATGACAGAAATAACTTTCAAAAGTCGGGTTTTTAGATCGGTAACACTTGTATTTAAATGAAAAACAAACATTAATTCGAAATGTCGCTTCAGACGTACAAACTTAACCTAACCCATGATCTAAAAAACTAGTTAATTATATTGATTATAATATCATGGTCCGATGGTCATACCCATGCAAAGCCGCTTTTAGGGTGTGCGCTGAGCCGGGCTCCAGTATTTTAGGGGCGCCAAAATGTTGTTTGCTTATGAATTATTAAAATTTTATAATTTTAATTATTCTAATAACAGTATTATATAATATAATTCAGTATAATAGTATTATATATCGATGGCGTAGCGCACAAGTGTGATAAGCAGGGCTCGGGACTTAAAGCACTTAAAATCATTAAAATAAGCGCTTAAATAAGCACTTAAAAACATCATTATAAGCACTCAAATAAGCATTTAAAAAACTTAAATTTAAGCAAAAATATTTATTAAAAAAAAAACAATAAAATAAAATAAAAATTTATCTTTATATTATAAAAAAATTAAACTTCATTTTCAGGACTGAGGATTTTATGGATTTTCCATGGGATTTTCTGAAAAAGAAAATGTAAACAATATTTACAAATAGTTGAAAAAAAATAATTTTTTAATAAATTTTAATAAATTTTTTTATTTAAATTATTATTAATTTTAATTCTATCAAAAACAACTTTGCAGTAGAAAACCATAAAAAAGTATGAAAACTGGTCAAAAAAGCAATAAATATCATAAAAACTTGAAATAAGCATTTTTTTGAAAAATCACTGAAAAAAGCAAAAAAAGCACTCTCAAATTTCATAATTGAATGTGTTGTAACATGATATACACTTCTATAGTACTCTGCTACATTTTATATCAATCTAAAAAAATAAGCAAATGCTTTAAGTCCCGAGCCCTGGTGATAAGTGACATTTTTTTGAAAAATGAGTTAAGTGCATAATCAATTTAATCATACAATTCTGAACATTATGCCCAAACGTTGTAAGTGAATAGTTCATTATTTACTCCGATAGATGTCATACAGTTCGTTACATTTTTGAATTTTTTATAACATCTCAAACTTAAAAATCATTCTCCTGAACAATTACGAAAATTACGTCATCAATATATATTATATAGTATTATGCTGATTGAATTTTTTTTAATTAATATGAATTTGCATAGTTTTATATAATTTTATTTTATTTATTCATGAAGTAACTACTTAAATATGTTAAAAAAAACAACTTTTATGACGAATTATAAGCAAGGTTTAAGTGACATAAATTCAAATGTATCTTTGAGGATCAAGCGATTACTAAAAAATATTTTTAAAAAAAGCACACACTGTAAAACAAATATTCTTTTCTGCGCTCAAAATCTAAAAGGTTTAAAGGTTAATGAGGATCTATCTCCCATATTTCCCTTGAGGGGGAGCAATTTTTTTTCACCTGGGCTTAGGGGGTGGACATTTTTTTTTAGTACCGGGGCGCAAAATGTCTAAATGCAGCACTGTACCCATGGCAAATGAATAGGTATGTCAGCAACTCGTGATACGCATGTCTGTGGGTCACACGATTTTCGGTAGGAATCGCGGAAAAAAGCCCAGAAATATAAATATGAACACAATATTATGTATGCGTCATGATATATTCAATATTGTGTTAACTTATAAGTTATAAGTCAAAAAAGGTGCTCTGCTGTACAGTAGGTTACAAGTAGGTCACTGTTCTGTAATGGAATGGTATTAAATTTGAATTCAATGATATAATATCATTATGTAAGAAAAACGATTCTGAGAGGAGACGATGTGTCAGTCTAGGTATAAGACATATTATATACCTATGGTATTAAACAAAAAAATGACCTATAATAGGTAGGTACCTAACAAGATAGTATACAAACCCTGATACTATCATAGATATATAATAGTTTACTTTAGAAGTTATTTATAGAAAGATATTTTAGAAGATATTTATAGAAAAAAAAAACTGAAATAATTTAAAACTGTAAATGTCCATAAACAGTTCAAAAAGAATCAAAATATTTTCAAAATTGTATGTCGTATAGCCGTATAGGAAATGCTAATATAAACATTCAATGAAATTTTCATGTATCTAAACTCCACAGTTCTTCGTTTTTGAATTACAATAAAATAAGGAAATTGCTAAATGAGAAATCGAGTGAATATCCAA